AAGTCTGCTTGGGATTCTCTCTCTGTCTCCCTCTGCCCCTCACCCTGCCCGTGTTTTCTCTCTCTCTCTCTCAAATAAATAAAATCGTAAAAAAATACTGAAATTAAAATTGAAGTTATGTTTAATAAAGGTTGTATGTGTGGAGAGTAACCAAATGGCTGACTGTAAAACAAAGTTTTGTAAAAGAAGCCTTTATTTAAGTGGCCTATCTTGTATAGTTATTGGAATGCTAGTATTCCCTATGTTTTTACTGTTATTAGGATATAAAAATTACACCAGTAGTGCTGTTCTTCCCACACTTAGTTCATATAAAAATCCATTTGCTGTCGTAGTATAATTGCATTGGAGAAGTTAGAAATAGAACCGGTGTGTTTTATGTTCCTCTTTCAGGTGTATTTATTTTTAAGAGTATGTGCATTTTTATTTAGTATTGATCCTTCACATATATTTATCTTAGGAGAGGCTGGTGTCATGAAAATAACAGTGGAGTAAAAATGGGAAGACAAAGGTCCTTTGTATTGGCACTACCCAGTTGTTCCTCTCAGGAGGTAATTCTTGCCTTCCCTAAGATGTAGGGTTATGGGGGTTCAGGTTTGGAAGATGACTTTCAAAATTATTTAAGTGCTACACAAATGCTGTTTAGATGTTGCCATGTCTGAATCAAATTTGGAATTTCAAAGATCCTCCCTCTTTTATCTCTTCCTCAAAAAGTTTTGGAATTTATTACACGCATGCGCACACTCACACTCTAGTTCACATTTTTTTTTTTTTTTTTTAACTTTATACTTTTTTAAAGATTTTATTGGGGCGCCCGGGTGGCTCAGTCAGTTAAGCATCCGCCTTCTGCTCAGGTCATGATCCCAGGGTCCTGGGATTGAGTCCTGTATCAGGCTCCTTGCTCATTGGGGAGCCTGCTTCTCCCTCTGCTGCTGCTCCTCCTGCTTGTGCACTCGCTCTCTCTGACAAGTAAATAAATAAAAAAAATATATATTTTTAAAGATTTTATTTATTTGACAGAGAGAGAGAGAGAGAGATCACAAGCAAGGGGGAAGGGGCCAGAGGGAGAAGGAGAAGCAGGCTTCTGGCTGAGCAGGTAGCCCGATGTGGGGCTCGATGCCAGGACCCTGGGATCATGACCCGAGCCGAAGGCAGACGCTTAACAACTGAGCCACCCAGGCGCCCCTGACATTTTTCTTCAGGGTCTAAGGTTCTGGTTATTGTGCTGCAAATCATTTTGGAATCTGACATAATTTGGTCCCTGCACCACTGTTACAATAAACTATTAAGGAAGTCAAAATGATTAATTGGCCACATAAGCCAATTGCTCATGGGTCCGAAGGGAGGAGAGGAGTGTTAACTCACCTGGAAGATAAAAACTGCAAGATCTGAGGAAAGCAGGTCCAAGGAAGCTCAGAACTTACAATTAAGGAAAGGTTTTGGGAGTGGGGCCTTTCTAGTCACATTGCAAGACAGGCTTGCATGGTGTTGGAAAGAAGGGAAATTGAGGAAAAATAAATATTTTAGTCATTTATAATAATAGATGTATCTTTCTGACTCCTACTCCCAGAGTTCCTTGAGGACAGAAATGGATGGAGTCTTGATTACTGTCCTGTCCCCAAATGCTTGGTTAGTGGATGCCAAATAAATTTGGCTGAATGTTGAAAGAAAGACTAAATCAGGATTAGGCTGTACATTCAAAATTTATGGGAGGCAAATGTATTCATTATTGCTTATATAAGTAAACATTAATTAAAAACAAATAGAACCCGAATATCTTGTGGCAGGAATAATAGTCTCCTAGAGAGGACTGAGTGAGGGAACCCTAATCTTGGGATTCTATTCAAGAAGGGCTTTTTCTTTTCATAGAAGAGTAGGAAAGAGGAAATAATTAACAGGAAAGAAAGGACACCTCTCCTTGGGACTCTTACTGCAAACTGGTAGGACCCTTCCTCATATCCTCTCCTCAGCAAGAGGGAGATAGGCAAGTGTGGGGGTACCTAGGGCAAATTTTTGGATGGAGTGTGTACGTGAGATATATCCCTCTTAACGTATGTCTTTTTTTTTTTTTTTAAGATTTTCTTTATTTATTTGAGAGAGAGTGAGTGAGAATTGGGGGAGGGGCAAAGGAGAGGGAGAGAAAGAATCTCAAGGAGATTCCACATTGAGCCTGGGGTCTGATGTGAGGCTCCATCTCACCATCCTGAGATCATGACTGGAGCTGAAATCAAGAGTCGTACTTCTTTTTTTTTTTAAGATTTTATTTATTTATTTGAGAGACAGAGACAGAGAGAGCAGGAGGGGGGGAGGAAGCAGAGGTAGAGGGAGAAGCAGACTCCCTACTGAGCAGGGAGCCTGACATGGGACACCGGGCTGAATCCCAGGACCCCGATATCATGATCTGAGCGGAAGGCAGACGCTTAACCCACTGAGCCACACAGGTGACCCTTAACGTAGGTCTTATTTAAACTTTTTTTTTTTTTAAACGTATGTAGATGGCTATGCTTGGGTCTGACCTAGTGGGGATTTCTGTATTGAGTCAAATATCAGCCCCAGTTCAGAGGTTTCTTTTTACCTGAATGGGAGGAAGCGAGGTGAAGGGAGAAAAGTTCTTTTTCAAAATCTTAACTTTCCATCTTCTAAATGTGGCAGGATCATACCTGAGTGAGGGATTCGTGGGCATAAGCAAGGAGCCCAAGGCTGAAGGGGTATGCGTGTGGAAATATCAAAGTCTTATGATCTTCAAGTACTTTAGGTAACAATTTTTAATTACACAAAAAAATAGACTGTCTTCTTGCAACGTAAAATGGGTTAAGACCCTCTGTGTTGACGTAAAGACACTCTTGACTATCCTCCCCAAAGGGAGCTCCCCTGTTTGATGTGCATCTTGCTCAGCTTTCCTCTGTGCATCTGCATCCACATTATGTATCAGATGCTTTAGTGAAATCTTTCCGGGGCACCGTGGGGGTGGGGGGGATGTGCTCAGGTGTGCAACCCTGCCCCTACCAGCCAGATTCTTTCCGGTGGGGAAGGTGGGCAAGTGTTAAGGTGGGAGGATTTCTAAGCACATTTCACATTGCAGGGGACAGGGATTGCGGGGCACCCTCTAGTTTTTTACAATGTGAAGAGACGGGCGAGATGCAAGGACTCCATGGGCACATTTCAGGTGGGGGCTGGGTAGGTGGATATCCACCCTCTCTCTTTTTTATTTTTACTTTTTACCGTATAGGGTGGGGAAAATGGGCACACATGAGCCCTAAAGGGATGCCTGCGTGTGCGCGCGCGTCGCTCTGAGCGCGCGCGCAAAGGCCACCCCAGGTCCTTTATTGGATGCCTGTTTACACCCGACTGCCCAGCCCTCCCGGGTCTGGTGCTTTCGGGAGAGCATTTGGGAGGGTGTGCGCGTGGGGGTGGTGGCGGAGATTCCCCTCTCCCATGATCCCCCGCGGCGGGGCGGAGACCTTAGCGCGGTCCCCGGGGAGTGGAGGCAAGCTCCGGGCGCGGGAGG